GTACGTACATACGAAGTTCTACGTTGTTACTGACTGACTGACGGACTGCATTGCATTATGTAGTTGTTTTCAAGTGACTTACTATTAGCCGTAAGCATTTATATTCCTGCAGTCAGTCAGTCAGGCAGCTATAACGTAGGACCAGGCACATATGTTTATCGGTCCAGGTTGTCATACCTCATTAGCACAGCAAGATGAACACCGGATTCATTGAAGTGGTTAGGTCAAAGGTGGTAATATATAGGAGAAAGATTGCAATAAGGATATAGTATAGGAAGAAAGATTTAGTTCGAAGAAAGAAGGGTATGAAGTGATTTTAATCTCTTAGTTTAAGGGAAAACAGAGAGTGTATACACCGACGCCATTGTGATCGATTCTGAGCCATTTCACCAAGAGTCTCCAACCATTGGTTACGATAGTCACGCGGACCCCAAACAAGTAGTCTGCATCTACCAACATGGCTCAGACTAGAGGTTAGTGTCTTCAAGCACTGATGCCACGTTTTGGTTTGGCCACCGCTAGCTTTATTCCAACCATCCCGAACACCGGTTAGCATTGCACGTCGTGGTAATTCGTGTTCAGGCATACGTAACACGTGGCCCAACCATCTCAGTCGATGAAGATTCACAACCTCATCAACTGACTTACCATCATTCCCTAATACCCTGCGTCCGACCTCACTATTACTTACCCGGTGATCTCAGCAATATTTCTAAGGCATTTGTGGTCAAATACTAGTAGCTTACGGGTGTCTTCTGCTCTTAAAGGCTATGTTTCGCTGCCGTAAATTAAAACAACGGACTGCCACGCAGTATACGCGTCCTTTTATTGATAGACGGATATCTCGCCTTCGTCATAGGTGACGTAAGTTGGCAAAAGTCAAACGAGCTTTTCGAATCCGTGCTGGGATTTCGTCTGATACTAACCCATTAGGGCTGATCAGACTTCCAAGATAAGTGAAGTTGACAACACGTTCTACTACTTCACTCCCTATCCTTATTTCAGGTGTTAACGCAGACCAGTCCTGAAGCAACATATTACATTTAGATGGAAAGAAGCGCATTCCAAACATTCTGGCATTGTTGCTTAGTGCTACCAAAAGACTCTGCATTTTGTCAGCGTCTCCACCAGACACGCCTATGTCATCTGCGTATTCTAAGTCGATATGTGGACCTCCTGGAAGGAGATCAATACCCGAGAATCCAGTCGACGAGACTGTTATTTCCAGCAGTAAACCTATGATGAAATTGAACAAAAGTGGAGATAGTGAATAGCATTGCCGGACACCACATGAGGTTGCAAAATCAGATGACAGTTCGCCATAAGCTCTGACTCGACTAGTGGTGTTCGAGTAAAGAGCCTTCACAAGGTTTATGTACTTCTGAGGTACACCTTTCAATGACAGACACTGTCACAGAACCTCTCGGTCTACAGAGTCAAATACTGCTTTTAAGTCAAGAAAGACCACCATTGTCGGACGCCGATAAGCATGCCTGTGTTCTAAAACCTGACAAATGGTGAATATGTGGTCGATGCAGCCGCGACCACGTCTGAAGCCAACTTGGTTATCTCGTGTTTGCAGTTCACGAGTCTTAGTTAGGCGTCCGATAATTATCGAGACTAGTATTTTAGATACTATATTAGTTAAACAAATCCCTCTATGGTTGTCACAGGATGATTTTGACCCTCTCTTATATATTGGGACGATAAGTGATTATGACCAGTCAGATGGGATAACGTCCAACTCTCAGATTTTAGCTGAAATATCAGTCAACCTAATCGCTAAAATTGGACCACCATCCTTAAAGACCTCTGGAGCCAACCCATTTGGACCAGCTGCCCTTCCTCGTTTCAGATTAACTATAGCCTTCTCAACTTCAGTAAGAGTTGGGGGACCTACTTCAATGTTCCATTCATATTGTCTGGAAATGAAGAGTAGTTGTTGAGTATCTGAAGGCCAGTTGAACTGTTCTCTAAAATGCTCCGCCCACCGTTCTAAACGTCTGGACTGGGAGCAGATGAGAGTATCGCCTTTTTCCGAAATAATCTCACTTACACTTGACTTATTAATTCCAGTTTCTTTTATTAGTCTGTAGAGCTGTCTTGGGTTCCCTGTATTCGCCGCCTTTTCCATCTCTTTTGCTTTCGTTACCCACCACTGCTCATGGTCGTACCTTAGACTTTTTCTTAACCTAGATCTGCTTTCTTTACGCTCTTCATCATGTTCAGAACCTGATGGGACGATTTTTCTCGAGAATCCATCAGTGTGATAGACCTTGAAGAAATCCACTGGTTCTTTGTAACTCTGTGGTTCAAGTCTCTAATAGATGTCACTGCTGTTTCTACAGCTGATTGTATGCCTTTCCAAGCAACATCTGGTTCAACCTCGTCTTTAGAACTACCTAAGTGTGAACTCAGTTGTTCCTGGAACCAACTTTTGGTTTTCTGTTTGGTTTAAACTACCTATCTGGGCAATAAAGTCACCTGCTACGAGTACTATGTCTGAACGTTTAGCTTTCTGAAGAAGTTCAGATAGCTTTCTGTAAAATTCATCATCCGAGCTGCAGTCGGTGGGAGCGTAGGGAGAAACGACAAAAAGGCAACGACGTGTGTCCCTATCCTTCCTAGTTCTTACGGAGCCGTTTAGTCGAACAGCATATAGACGACTGTTAACGGGATCCACTTTAACAGTGCTTGTTCCACCCTCATGCTTAGTGTTATGCCCACACCTGCTAGTCCATGATAACTGGCCGTTGAGTCACCAGATACACGTAGGGTGTATTCGTTGGCTCTCTGTTTTACCGAGGTGAGGTCAAGTGAATGACCACAATGGGATCCTGTATGCGTGTTTCAGAGACACAGCATACATCAATGGTACAAAATTCTAGGGTTCTAGCTAAGGAAGCCTGTTGACCTATTCGACATAGGGTGCGTACGTTGAAGGCTCCAATGTGTAGTTTGGAGCGAGGTTTCAGTAGACCTGGGACAGTGTTTTGAGCACTAGAATCGTTTGCTATGGTGACACTTGAGGGGGAAGCCGAAAGAGGAAGTTTAGAGGTGAAAGTTGATGTAGAAGGAATAATAGGAATTGAAGAGGGAGGTTGATTATGAAAACAGTGGTGCTGTTAGAGGTATGAGGGCGGTTGCCCACACCGTGGAAGGGTTCTTCTGGAGGTACCTGAAAAGGAAATTTGATTAGAGGTGGTCTTAGTGACCTGGGAGCGTGACCGCAGTGTCCAAGGGACAACTGCTTGAGATCGGTCACAGACGACCTTTTTATGGGTAATTTTTGTGTTAGCTCCCTACTTGTTGAGACCTTACCGCTGGAGACGGATATCCGTGGGATAAGGTGAGGGTCGACGTTTTCTAACCCCACCCCTCCTTGTGGGAAGGCAGCATCGCTGTCATGCTGGTTGTCTGGAGGAAACACTTTACTGCTGTCACACCTCTGTACAGGCAGCAGTACGACTTCGCCTTCGGACCTTGGATTTGCCGCTTTTAGTCTTACCGCTCTTCAACCGACCTGTCTGACATGGTAGGACCTTGAGGAATGGTTGTTGCAGCCAGTACAGATCTGTTGCTTCATCACGGTAGGCAAGCCTGACCACCACATCGAGGTAGCAACAACGGTCGGGAGAATATCACTTTAACTGAAGTAAACTGAATTAAAGTGGAAACAGTAGTTTTGATGCGTAATTTACAACCGAAACAGTAAATTTAACTCAACGAGGAATAAAACCACTGTCCTTGTGTCTTCCCGGGAGCTTCCATACTGCCCATTATTTTTCAAAGCTGGAACTAGGTGAAAAGAATAAAGGTTGATTTTTTACTACTTGGCACCGTGATATGAAAGATAAGTGTACAGGACTGGTATCTGTTAGTCCATCAAGACTCCTGTATTGGTACTCATGAGGTCGTGGAACTCAGTATATTAAGACACTAGATATGACTCAAAATGTAACTCAGTAACATATCTACCTTAGTTTTTCCTACATTCTTCGTAAAAGCAAGTTTTGTTCATTAGATTGAAAGATGTTTTGACAGCAGTTTTGGTGTTTTTTTCGTCGATCGCTTTTCATTCATTCATAAATTGTATACCTCTTCTCCTTTCGATTTCACGATATCATTATTTGCAATATTTTTTGTACCATTCAGTTATAATCAATACATCCCGAGAAAAATGTGTCACATTCCGAGCTTCCATATACTTGTACCTAAGTTTATGTTCTATAAACCCCTTTTGGAGTTAAGCTTACTGAAATTACGTTTTTGATTTATATGATTCATAACCTTCCTCAACTATGATTTGTGTTAGCGCACTCATCTAGAAAGTTCTTGGGAGGATGATTGATTAAAATAATTTCTCGGAAAGTTTTGGGAGTTGTTTCAATCAAAGTACGTCAATTTATTCCCTTCATAATTCTCAGTACCATCTAGAAGATTTCCAGGCTGTTGGTTAGAGCATTCACTTCTCAACCATTAGGTTATAAGTTAGAATCGCTTCCCTTCTACTTTGATTTGAGAAGGTGAGTAATATCACTAACCCTCAAAAACGCTTCGCGAAGCTTAGATGCATTTCTGGTTTCCAACTTATGTTACTGCTGTATTGTGAACAGAGTATTTGATCCAAAAATCCGAGTTAACATCAATGTCATTTTTTGAACAGCTATTCACATATCCTCCTCATAATTACATCACTGTAACTACTGGTTCTCTTATTTCTAAACTAAACGCAGAGGGTCGTTAACTGTTGATTTTCGCCTTCGTCCAACCACAAGGTATCCATCCTTGAACCAATAGGTTATCAAAGTATTGAGAAGGTCTGGCACAGATATACGTTGGCTCAATTCGTCACATCACAAGCGTAACGAGAAAATAACAAGCTGATTAGCAGAGGTAATAGGAATAATAGTAGTGATAATGAAGAAATCTGGCAATATCGTTGATCGTTATACAGTTGGTATAGCTCAGCGCTTAATGTAACGTTATTTATTTTTTAGAATGACCTTAGTATTGTTGCATCATATGATCGTCGTGGTCGTTATATTTATACTGGGAACTCAAAAGGCAAAGTAAGTGAAACAAATAATTTGTTTTAATATTTTTGTTCATTTCATGAATACTTATCATTTTTCCCCACTATCTTCTCAAATGCTCGAATTTCGGATATTTAATAACTCGACAGTTCGTTTTAATAGATATCCTATCAATGACGTCGGAACTCTTAATTTGCTTAAGACTTTGTTCAGGTTTTTTTATTATTAATTTTCGAATGTATAATTATTTTTCAAAACTACCCCAACAGAATTTTCACTAGACAGCTAGGTTATAGAATACTCAGGGATTAGAATATTTCTTTAGAAAATTTTTATGTAACTTGACTATAGAAACGCTGTCTTACCTCCGTTTTCGAAGTTGTTTTCTGGTATTTAATACATGGTTGTTTTTTATGGATCTTCGTAATACCTTGCTGTTCAAACTGTGATCACTCATGTTGATGTACTAATGTATAATTCTTTAATTATTGTGGTTGTTTAAATGTTATTCTTAACAAACTTATTAATAAACGACTACAAAACTAGGTGAAACCTGAGTTTCAATAAGGTTATGACAACAGAAAATTCTGACGTTTCCGTCGATTACTCTAAGAAATCAAATAGATAGATAAATATGAACGTCAATTTGATCATGTGTCGTTGAAGCATTTCTTACGTATTGTGGAATAACCGATTGCGTATTGCTGGGATTAATCGTAGGGCACTAGGAAAATGTAGCAAATCAAACTGATAAGGTTGTGAATATTTGTCGACTGTGACAGCCTGAATATGGGTTATGTTTGCCCAAACACCACCTATTTGACGTAAAATGTTAACCGGAATAGGAATGGTCTAGATGAAAGTAAGCGGTTGTGATACCAAGACATGACATCAATTTATGGAGTCATTGGCCGTTGGACTGAGTCATGCTTGTAGATGCAGTCTACCTGATTGGGGTTCACGCAATAACTACGATCAGTGACTGAAGATGGGTGGTATTGTTCAAAGTCATTCACAACAATACAGATCCACTCAACCTTTGTCTTGCACTAATTCTTGAACTATAACGTTGCATCGTACTTTTTATCTATTCTTTTCAAACGTTATTTTCTGATATTTGATTTTTCTCACCATAATTGGTACTACTATTATGTTGACTCTTGCTATTTGTCTCTAATTCTCATTATGTAGTATGGGAACTCGAGCTGATGCATAGATGCACCAGGCTATGTCCACTATAACTAACTGAACCTCACTACTTTTTATGTATAATGCACACATTATTGTGTGATTTAGAATTAAGAATATTAACTGTTTGGCCGATCTAGATTTAGTTCATATAATAAATGTAAATTAAGTGTTAACCGATGCATACCTTGAATTCAGATAATAGGCAAATATAAAACTTAATAGTGTGACACTGAAAGTTTGTTTGTCAGTTGCAGTTTAGCTAACTGAATGATCACTTATTTGTAATAAAGCATTCTCCATTTATTTCGGTAAGAAAAGGTAAGTAAAATCACTAGCCATGTATGTATACAAAAGATAAGATTCAAAATTGATTAAATATACCTATAAACTTATTAAGAATTACACAAAATAACTATGTAACAGTATATGGCTCTAATCCAGTTATGTTTTATGTGTTTTCCCAACCGTACTGTAACCAACTTTTGTCAGCACTCAGTTGTCGACTCTTATTCTCACTCCTTTCGCAGACTTCACCTAGAGTCTGAAACTTCTTCACATAACTTAGATCAACAGTTGCGAACTCTAATATCATTTCGTGATCCTTTTATTTATTTGAATATATAAAGGACACCAAATACATATGAGCCACACAAGTCACTTGATTTGTGTATGGGGTGCCCGGATGCCCAGACCGAAGCAGGTGAATTTCTTAAGAGGTCACACCCGGAACCTTCGATCTAAAGATTTGATCCACAAGGTAGTGGATCAACATAAGGAAATGTAGTCCCATTCTGGCCGATGACCAAACATAGGTTCACACGCCATTTGTTCTCTCAGGATCCTGGAACCCATGTAGACCATTGATTTGGAATCAAGGTTTTCCAACCCCCTATGTGGATCGTCCATATCCACCAACCCGGTTAAAGCGCCGGACATTCGCTTTTCGTCCTCTCAATTTCGTAACCAACACCCGTGGCACAAGAATGCAGTGTTATGTAATCTAATAGTAGTAATAATTTTATTTTCTCTATCTTAATTTCAAAAGCTTTTAAATGTATTTAATATTGAATCGTAAAAATCCATTCATTTCCTACATATAGGTTTGTATATATGAAACGAAAGATTTCCAGTTGATCAGCTCATTTAAATCAACGTCAGCAGCAAATGCTGCATTAAATCGATAGAATTCGCTAGACGTGGGGAGTAAGTTGAAATTCTTTTTTTGTTGTTGTGTGTATTACAGTTAACGTATTTTATTTATTTGATGCACTTAAATTCTGGTACAAACGAGTACCAGAAAAAAAGTGTATATTACATGACATAAAAAGATAACATTGTAAAGAAATAAGAGTGAGAATGGGAGTAAAATTACAAAATAATAAATGAACATGTAGTGTATGATAAGAGATATATTTAAGTTGATGCTACAATCAAGAAAGACCTTATTAAGTTAAGGGGGTTCCTGTCAATTTATATAAACTGTAAAAGATAACTAAATTGAAATCTTTACTGGTTTCTATTTTAACCCATCCATGGTAACTTCTCAAGGTACTAAATCGCACCATCTCTAGAACCCCAACCATGAATTTATGATGAATCGAAAGATACCATTCTCAAACTGCTCTCTTTAATTGTTAGCTAATATTCTTTTCGCTTTAATGTACTTATATTTTTAATGATTTATTTGATTTCGAAGGTAATTTTCACCACAAACGGACATCAATCTACGAATTATTGAACACTAGTGAGCCACTTAATGACTATTTTGTCCGTTGTTATTACCAAGCTCTACATTTAAATAGCCGTGTATAGAGACAATAAAAACAGACTAACGAAAAAACGATCTTCTTATTTGTACTATACGCGTTTTAAGGATAGTCAAAATATTGAATATCATTAGATTGTATTAAGTTAGGACAAATGGTTTATAATTAGCTTCCGGTCTTTGTATCATAAGTGCTGTTAGCGGGATATAAATTGAATTAAGATATGTTCTGCGCGAGATTGTGTTGAGGCAGGTTGATTGACAATTTCTTAACCAGTCAGAGCTAGTAGAGACTTGGAGAAGAGTTTAGAATATTCTTATGTGAAAGTTCTAAATGTACTAACGTTTTTCTTATTGTCACTCCTACTTCCATCCACCCTTGTTATCTGGAATATAATTACGTTCCTGTTCAACCGCGTTTTGATTTGGAGAATTGTTAAGTGAATCAGTGTCAAAGAAATACTAAGCAACAAGAGTAGTTGGTTCGTAATAAAAGAAATCGTAACAAGTGCAGAGCTCATCATTCTCACACTTCTTAATTTATTGATCATAAGATAAAATTAACATTAGGTAAGGATGGCAAATCAATTGATGGAATAGTGAAACTTTATCATTTGAGATGGCTGGAACATGTGTTACGTATTACCAAACACCAACTGCTCCGATGAGTGATGTTTTTTGGTGTAGGAGTAGGCTGGAAGAAAGCTAGGGGCGACCAGACCAGAACGTGGCACAAATCCATGAAGTCACTGACAAGTGGACTGATTCATGTTGGTAGTGTAGACTACCTGGCTGAGATCCGTGAGACGTTAGCAACCGATGGTTAGAGACCTTGAATGAAATGGCTCAAAATCGTTTGCAATGGCTCAGGTGCATCCACTCTTTGTGTTCTCTCAAATTCTCTCAAATCTTCTGGATTCTTTATGTCCCTTTATTTTTTCTCTTTCCAAATTTATTTCACTGGATTATACTACTTGAATAACATCTTCAAACCCTAATCTTTCCAATTACTGCTTATACTCTTACTACCTCTCACACTATGGGATTTGAATCCACATTTGTATCTGTATACTAATGTGGTATGGCAACTCGAACTGATTTACATACGTACGAAGTTCTACGTTGTTACTGACTGACTGAAGTTAAAATTAACATTCTCCCTCCCAAATCCCCACACTGTTTCTTTCTCTGAATGACGTTCTTTCTTGTTGTTGAGGGTTAAATTTCTATCCTTATGAATTAATATGAAATACAATAGAAATAAAATGGGATTAGAAATAAGACCTTATTTGATGCAGAGTTAAGTTAGATTACGGACAGATGTTTCTTTGATTGGTCAAAATATGAATATTATGGTGCAACAGTTTACTTGGAAATCAATTATTGTTTTTGAGACGTTATGTATGTCGTGGTAGAATGTGAATAGAGATGGCTGATATTTGATAATAGAAAACTTTCGAAGTACTGCTAATATGATGGAATCATCTGATATGTATTGTTGAAATGACAAGAAGAATATTAGGTATAGATGAAATCTTGGTTAGTAAAATGAAAAACTCATTTCACAAGTTTCATAGAATAGGTGGATCACGAGTAGTTTTAGAACCAAGAGATAAGTTACATCCAGCTAACGTTTCCCGCATAGAAAACATATGTCCTGGATTCCACTAGTAGCTTAATCTATCTACTCTATAAGTAGAAATATTCTTTCAAATACCTAATAGTTTACATATACTCACTGAATCATTTTTTGTTTACTATTCCAGTAAATTAACCAATTAAAGAGTATCTGTGAATATTCATATATATTTCATATAACATCTACTTCAAAATATTCATTAGAGAGAGTTAAATTGAAATGAATTTAAGCAACTTTACTTTATGAAGCACCAACGCATTCATTGATTGACATTACTCTCAATTTTAGTGTTTTTTAATCATTTCCAAATATTAAACTTTAATTTGATTCTACATTTTTAGTTCACGAAAATTTATTCTCACTTTTGAAACTATAATCGTTATGTTAGGCAACCATTTTTTTCCCTAGCCATTGAGGATATTGTTACTTTGATTGATGCATAGTGTATTTCATTAACATCATCTTCTTACGCTGATGTAGTGTAGGAACTTGTGATGATGTAGATGTGTCATCTTATACGTTGATTATGACCTACTGATTTATTTGTAATAACTTAAGGTTGTAAAAAGTAGTAGACTCACTAAGTCGACTTAATTTTTCAACTTACAAATGAAATGACGTTTTTCCTGAATCTTCGATGTTCAGTTTCAAATTTTTTGGTTAACAACTAAAAATTGTTTGGTATTTACGAAAACAAAAAAATATTATTATGAGATTTTTATAATGACAAGCTGGAACATACAAATTTATTCAATAAGGTAAAACTACTGTGATACCTTCTAAGTGAGATAATTATCAAATCACAATTATAAATATCAGTATATAATTAGTTTTATAATAAAGCAATTTGTTTATAAACATTTAAGATTCCATTGTAAATCGCCCATTATCTAATGAAATTTTTCATATAAATGTACAAAACTACACATGTATTTACATAATTATACGTAATCATAAATATTATATCAAGTAAATCCCAATACCTTTCATTGTAAACTTGTCTCGTAATAATCAACGTCAGGGATTCTATCTTATCTAAGCTAACTTATCTTTACCACACAATATACATATTCTATTCATTACTTGAAGATTACAAGAAAATAGCGTATAATCTGTTTGAGATTCATTTGAAATTGTAATTAAAGTTGTTTAACACTAACCAAAGAGAAATCCGAACTAGCGTTTAGAAGATTCGAACAAATACTACCTTGTAACACATAAAATATTAAGCGATGTTTTAAGGTTTCACCATTTTTCGAAATGCATAAAGTCAAGGTTTTTGTGTATATAAGGGGTTCTATAGACTAGCAACAGTTCAAGGTGAATATTTCAGTTAATTAAACTTGAAGTTTGTAATTACAATAATTATTATAATTACATTTGAATAGTGGCGAGTAGTGGAATCCAAAATGTTTATTTTCTTTTATTTAGGACTTATTAATTACTAAAAATACCATCATTATTTACTATCCTATTCTTTTAATTACAACATAAAAATATATTTCACTAAGCAAGCTAACAAACGTATTGCATAAAAGAACAGAATACTTTTCTTCTACAACTCATCCCTATATAACACTGAACTTGGCGGCCTGCTTGAACATCTGGGCTACCTGTTCTTCCCACCTAGATATTTCATCAAGTTGTCTGTTTTGTTTTAGCACATCATTATGTTTATTGTGCGCAGAATCTATTCAGGCGCGTTTATGAAAAGTTTACAACCTTTCGCTGTACGAGATACAAAAGGGTACAATCAGCGACATCATGGTGGCTGGCAATATGCATTGAAACGAATGAACATTAATCAAATGTGGATTACCGAACTCCTAACATCTAACTGGTCATCATTCAAAATTTATCGTCACAATCGATCAAGGTATAAGAAAAGGAAACTTGTTGAAATACTTTATGCTGAGAATTCTATGTTGTACCAAAAATATAATGTTGAATAAAGCTTCTAATAATAAAAAATAAAAAATAAAAAATTGAAACTAATGAGTCAATCACTTTGTTATCATTATCAAATACCATGTGTTAACTGGCTCATTGTCAATATTATTAACTCAACAATTCACATCTATTCATAAAACATTCAAGAAATTCATCTACAAAATAGTTATAACATATATAAGCGAACAATATTGTTTTCCATTAGATCCTCATCAGGCTTCACTCTAATATACAGTAATATTTATATGCATATACGAAATTATTAAACCAATCAAGGTAGTTTATAAGTCAATGATAACAATGAAAACGATTACATAATAAGTAAAATGTGAAAAGTACAAATTGATGGTGTGACAACAGGTGCATTAGTTTTGATAAGCAATAATAATAAAGGTCCAAATCAATGTTACATAATCTGAAATAGGTCAATGATTAGAAAAATATAGAAACTGAGATAACATTTATAAAATTATGAGATGACGTAATAAGAAATGTTCAGATAATTGGACCATGAAACGTATAGTTGAGAGAAAATAAAGTGGTAGGAGGGGGTGAAGAAAAATAATAAACGAAGAGAAGGTTTGAAAAAAAGAATAAATAAATTCATCTATTACTTAAGGCCAGGGGAGAGATAAGGGTGTTACAAATTTCTTCTGAACACAAAGACTTGGCTTGTTGGCTCGGATTCCTATAGCTTCTGCTATGTGTAAGAAACGAGATCGAACACCATAAGGAAAACTAGTGGGAATACGATAAGTAACTTTGAACGACTTGTTTCTGTCCACTATATGACCGCTATTGATCAAGTGTGATTTATATGCATATAAATATTACTGTATATTAGAGTAAAGCCTGATGAGGATCTAATCTAAAACAATATTGTTCGCTTATATATGTTATTCTAAATTTACAATATGGGAATATTTCAAAATAGTTATAGATGAAAGGTTTGAAATCAAGCATAAAAGAAATCATTCAATACTTCCTAGTTTGTAGTAATTCTCCAGTTGGATCTATTCACTGATACAAAGTATCTGTAGTGATTTTGAAGTCTTGTTATAATTTATATTTCATCAAATATATACAAGAAAAAAGATAAACTTCCTAAAAATAACTAGAAGCCACACCCTCAATGGGATATACGGTATAGTTTTATGCATTTTAATATTTTTTGATATAATGAAATATTTATTTTCATTATTATTATTATTATTATTATTATTATTATTATTATTATCACTTTATTAAAAATACATTTAAAGTGAGAATAAATCTGAAAATTAGAAATCAATAAACTTTGTCGTTAAGACTAATTTGTAATTTACTTGTAACAAATATAACTTCATTATACTTAATCTGTAAATCATTTCATTTTTCAAAAAGATTTATATTATAACCTTGACTTATATACTCATGATAACAAGATACTTTACTTACTTAGGCCTGTTACTTGTAATGGAGCATCGGCCGCCGACCAGCATTCTCCAACCCACTCTGTCTTAGGCCTTCTCTTCTAATTCTATCCAATTCTTGTTCATTTTTCTCATGTCTATCTCCATTTCCCGGTGTAATGTGTTTTTTGGTCTTCCTCTTTTCATTTGGCCCTGAAGATTCCATGTGAGGGTTTGTCTTGTGACGTAGTTGTGTGCTTTCCTCAATGTGTGTCCTATCCACGTATAGCACTTATAGAATGGGAATCTCATGGATTGAAAATCGCAAAAAGATCCATCAAAACAAAGGAGGGAATCATAATGTATGTTATCCAATGTTATGCACCCACCAATGATAAAAACGACGACAATAAAAATCAGTTCAATGAGTTGCTTCAATCTATCATAGCGAAGTGCTCATGAAACGACCTGACTATCCTGACAGATCTGAATGCCAAAGTTGGAATGGATAACACCGCGTACAAATATATCATGGGACGACATGCACTGACTGGGATATTGGAACGAGAATGGAGAGATATTTGCAATTTTATGTTCATTCAACAAAATGATTTTCGATGGCATACACAAAGCTACATGGGTCTCAGTGGATCACACTACAGAGAGTCAGATCGATCATATTTGTAGGTCAGAAGGTCAATGGAAAGTGTGAGAACCATGAAAGAGGCTGATATAGCTTCAGATCACCATCTGGTGATTACCAAGATGTAACGGAAGCTCAAGAAGCATTGGGAAACTGGATAAATAGCATTATAAGAGTTAAATACAGCCTTCTATCATGATAATGACAAACTTAACGAATTCAAGATAACTCCCGACAACAGGTTCTAAGTTTTACAAGATCTCACAGAAGAGGAAACTACTATGGAGGACAATTGGAAAGGGATCAAAGAAGCATTAACTTCAACGTGTTAGGAGGTTCTGAGCCGCAACAAGCGTCACAAAGAATGGATCTCCATCGAAACCCTAGACAAGATTCAAGAAAACAGCAATTAACAACAGCCGAACAAGAACAGAGAAAGCCAAGGCACAAGCCGAATACACAGAGGCGAACAAACAAGTAAAGAAGAGCATTAGAGCTGACAAGCAGTAATACGTGGAAGAGCTAGAGACGGCAGTGGAAAAAGCTGCAATAGAAGGAAATATGAAACAACCATATGACATGACGAAGAAACTGGTAGGGAAATACAGTAAACCAAAGAGACCGGCCAAGGATAAGAAGGCAATCCAACCACTGAAACTGACGAACAGAGGAATACATGGGTGGAATACTTCGAAGAACTCTTGAGTAAGTCAGCTCCATTCAATCCATCGGACACCGGGGCAAAATACATAGACATTCCTATAGCTGTCACTACCAACGATCGAAAAATCAGCATGGCCATCGGAAAAATTAAGAGTGGAAAGGCAGCAAGATTTGACAATATACGAGTCAAAGCACTGAAATCAAACACTGAGGTAAGCGGAAAGATGTTCTACATATTCTTTAAAAAGATTCGGGAGGAAAAACAAGTGCCGACAGATTGGAAAGAATGATATCTCATCAATATACCAAGGAAGAGAGATCTGAGTGAGTGTGAGAGCTAACCAGATAGGCATCATACTATCGGCATCAGGAAGAGTTTTCAACAGAGTATTGCTGAGCCAGACGAAAGATTCAGTAGATGATCAGCTTCGAGATCAACAGAGTGAATTCCAGAAAGATCGGTAATAAACAGATCAAATCACCACACTACGGATAATCGTTGAACAATCAACTGAATGGAATTCGCCACTATAAATCATCGTCCTTGACTATGAGAAAGAGTCTGACAGTGTGAACAGGGGGACCTTATGCAACCTTCCTTGAAACTGTGTGAGTAGCTCAGATCGTCAGCACTATGCGGAATTCATACGACGGACTACAGTTCAGAGTCGTGCCTGAAGGACAACTGACAGACTCATTCCGAGTGAGGACCGGTGTCAGACAAGGCTGCTTACTCTCCTATTTCCTCTTTCTTCTGGTAGTCGACTTGATTATGAAGGCCTCGACATCGGAGGGAATGCATGGGCAGCTCGGAATTAATTGGAAGATTTGGACTTCGCAGACGACCTGGTCCTTCTATCCCAAACACACGAATAAATGCAGGCCAAGAAAACTAGTGTAGCAGCAACCTGTGCACTAGTAGGTCTCAACTTACACAAAGGGAGAAGAAAGACCCTCAAATACGACACAGAGAACACCAACCCAGTCATACTTGATGGAAAAACTCTAGATGTGGAAACGTTCACGTACCTAGTCAGCAGCATCACCGACGAACAAGGAGGATCTGATACAGACGTAAAGGCAAGAATTGGCAAAGCAAGGACAGCATCCCTACAGTTGAAGAACATGTGGAACTCAAAGCAACTGTCAACCGATATCAAAGTCAAAATCTTTAATACGAAGATCAAGACAGTCCTACTGTAAGGAGATGAGACTTGGAGAACTATCACAACCATCAGCAAAATAGAACAAGTAACTATAAACAATTGTCTATGCAAGATTTATTTATTTTAACACATAGATATTGGTACAAGGAGGCACCAAATACATATGCGCCACACAAATTTCATTCGGTATGTGTGAGGGCTGTGATACTATCCGGGTGCCCAAACCGAAGCAGGTGATTTTCTTAGGGGGCCACACCACGAGCCTTCGACCTGTAGGTCTAACCCACAAGGCAGTGGAGCATCGCAAGGAGATGCAGTCCCATGGTAGCCGGTGATCAACAATTAGCTCATACGCCATTTTTTCCCGCAGGATACTGGAGCCCATCTGCACCATTGGTTTGTGATCCGGTTAAAGCGCCGGACATTCGCTTTTCGTCCTCTCGTTTTCGTAAACAACACCCCCGCCACGAGAAGGCAATGAGTAGGACTTCCCTGGCAGAGGCTATATACACGTGGCCATGTGATAGCATTTCGAGAGGGAAAGTGGACTCTCTCGGCCGTACCAGGGCATTTTGAGGGCGTCTGCGCAAGATGCTCAACACCCGTTGGCCGGATACCATCAGCAACAGCCTACTGTGGGACAGGACAAACCAGCTTCCAGCTGAAGAGGAAATTAGGAAAAGACGTTGGAGGTGGATAGAGCATGCATTGCGGAAATCATCAAACTGCATCACAAGATAAGCGCTAACTTGGAAACCTGAAGGGAAAAGAACAAACTGCGCTGAGAACCGGAAGTAGACATCAGAAGGGGGAATAGCAACGGGAAGGGATTGCCCAGGACAGAGTTGGATGGAGAATACTGGTGGATTGTCTATGCTCCTCCATGAAGGGTAACAGGCGTATGCGTACAGAAATGTCATGGATTACCAGCCTGTGAAAATTGGTCTGAAGACCAGTAACACAGTGCACCAAAACATTCCAAGCTGCTATAGAAGACCTATTGTGCAGGCTAGCTCTAAACTTTATAGGAGGAAAACATACTACAAGTATTTTCAAACATTTTAATTACGTATTCAGAATATATTCCATCTCACTAGCATGTTCGTTAAGCGTGACCATTCAGTAAAGGATCTCCTGAAGGTCAACAGTGCCATTTGTACGAGTATACCTACGACAATAAACAATACAAGTATGCGAAACATGTTTATTAGTAAAGTACATTTATAGCTAAGGAATAACGCAAACATGAATGTTGAAACATTGATTTGTAAATGAGCATGTATAAGATTAGCCTCTTAAAAATAAATATATGAATAAGTGAAAGATGATTATGTACATGTACAGGGACTTGTTAGTGATGTACAGATTGGATCAAAGTATGTTTTTAAAATCAAGAACTTTTTAAATTACTAACACAATATATAAAACATCATCTAGTTCTTATTAATGTATACTAATGTAGAAAAAATGTCAACGACCATGCCGATATTCACGTAATAATTCTATTGGTGGTTTTTTTGTTTCTAAATGTACAGAATATAAGCGTCGAAGTACACGAAATGCGGCTAAATTAGCATATGGTGTTAAAGTTAATGGGTCTAAATAACGTGCTGGTAAACCAGTAATTGGACATATACGTAAACGACGTTCTGGACGTATAGGAGTAGGAGCAGGGCAACCAGGTTCTGGAAGTGGAGTGACTGTTTCAGGCATTGAATCACGAAAACATGCATCATTAGCAAACGTTATTAGATTTCTTGAACATTTAGCTGAATGATCTGTAATTATGGGACCAGCTCGAATAGTTGACCTATAAATCAGAAATATTTTAGAAATTGTATGAAGCACAAATAAAATCACTGGAAACAAAACTTTTATTACATACGTTAGCAAGTCTACGTTTAGAATAGTTGAGTTTCACAAACCACATATATATTCATAGAGTAAAAAGTTTGTAAAATAAAGTAATATGTGATTTATTTAAAAGTTAACAAGGTCACTGTTGATTTTCTTATTATTTTTTAATAGTTTGGTGTGATTCGGTAACCAAGATTAGGTTTTTACTCCCAATCAAACTGTCTATGGGGTTATTAACGATATCACCGAACTACCCAAACCAAAGAACATATGGTATAGGTCCGAACCTTCAACTCAATACCTGAAAAACGCGACCTTTGCGGGTTAGGAATATCTTATTTCTATTTTTTTACTTTTATCCTAGTTGTTTCGGTATCAAACTTTGTGTTTGACAGAAACATCACACAAATAGTATCAAAGTTAGCCAGCTTATTTACCAATAGTGAGTTTGGTTACAGAGGAGAAATTGTGGGTTTTTAGTGGCCCGTGATCTGACTTTATTCAGAGTGTATGGAAGATGGCTGGGAAGCCAACTCCATTTCCTCCTCCTCCTCTTCTTCTTATCAACCTTCGGTAGCTTAACCTTCGACGCTTTCTTAGCAGCTTTACCAGATACAACCTTAGGAGGCACCACTTTGTAGACGAACGCGTACGCAGCAAGCTACGTCGATGAATGAATGTCGGCACTCCATATTTTCGACGAACTAAAATGATGAGCCCTTCGACGAACATCGTCCGATTTAAACGACGACAAAACCACGAGGCCTTCCAAAAAATGGTAACCCCGACGTGGGAACAGGAAACCACGGACCCCCAAATTGGTGAGCCCGACGTGATGCGAACACGCAACCTTCTGATATGGAGTCAGATCTAAGGGCCACTAAAGGTTTATAGAGTGATACCTGGTTATGACGGTCGGTTGTATTGAGTTGGTGTTTTTCAACAGATATCGACTCTCTAAATGGGATCTCAAAGACTCCGTAACTGTTACTTAAAAATAAAACTGAAAGATTATACCACTCTATATTTTTAGATATATCATGTTGAGCCTGATCAGTATTTAAAAAGATAAATGGCACTAAAAACGACCCGAGTTATGTAAAAGCCTACAATTCGAAGAGCTCGTAATTGCATAGAGTATCAGTTATACACTTAATCCCAAAATCTTGTACGATAAAAGTTCAACCGATCATTTAGAGATAAGATTGGAATCACCCCCAGTAGTGTACTTCGGTCTAGGACAGTTATGTAATTCTGAAAAACTCGATGACCAATAAAGAATAAAAATCTGAAAAATTATATGATTTGGAAAGACAGTGCAGTAGACCGGAATATAGGGTTTGAAACCGGACGCAATATTGGTGTCTTTTTCACATAATTTGCATTACCTAATGGAGAGGAATCTATATCTTAATAGCCTGAAGACAAGTGCCCATGCTACATATATATGCATTTTAAATATAACGGAGAAAATATACTCGACAAAAACATGTCTAGCTTGGGAAAATAGACAACACTAAATCTGACAAATGTGTACATATATATATCCAGGTGACATGAAAATAAACCCCCTGAAAATTAGTTAAATCGATGCCAAACCAAAAAAACCATAAGACTTTATTTTTGTTTCATATATTCTAGATATCCCAATTTTAAAATAACTCTCATATAGATTCCATTTCAAGTGTGATCCGAACGATATAAAAAATTTGTTTTAAGATAATCTAAGATATATTTGTAACATACTAAACAAAATTTCACCCACTATTAAAACTTACTCATCGTCATTACTAGCTAACACTCCGTATATATTGTGCTGTTCCTCAATAATTGGAACAGTGAATGAATGATAACGAATCATTGGAGTGGAATTGACCGTTTTTTGAATGCGTGCTTTTTTCTTTTCAATTTCTAAGCGTTGATATCGAGCTGGTATTGAAAGAAAGAACAAGTAAGCAACTGGTGAATTAAAAATATAATATGTATAGATAACTAACACCATGCTTTTTATGCGTATATTTACCCATACTTATTATAATCACTGAAACAATAACAAAATACTTTCGGATATAATTAAAGCAATCTGGTAACAACAATAAAGCATAGTTGTATATCGTAAAATACACATTTCGTTAACTGATCAGAAAGTATCTTTAAATTAGCTACCACCCTCCTCTAACATTACAGGAAATATTCTACGTTCAGGATGAAAAATAAAACATATTCTACAAATATTATGAAATCAGCTCACCTAAAGAACGACGATTAATTTCTTCGGTGATTTTTGCCTCAGCCAACAATTCTTCTTGAGTTAAACGCCGAACTTCCGGAAGATTTTTGCGCTGAGCGATTTCAGCTAGTAACGCTTTACGACGAACAGCTGTGTTCTCAGCATTGGCTATTCGTCTACGCGTGGTTTCGGCTTCTTGATCAGCTGTAGCTTGTAATGTGCTTGCCCGTAATTCTGGTCGTTCTAAAATATACGTATATATATATGCAAACAATACGTTATAGCTTATAAAATACTTCTTTTGTCAGTAGATGATAATATACCAGAAAAAATAAAAGTCATCTATGCGAATCCTTCATGGCTTGCAGACGCTAGTGGTTCTGAACAAACATAGATTGGAAACATACTACGCATCAAATCAGCATTACAGTGTCATACTCCGTCACCAATCACAATGTATACCAATTACAACAACAATTACACATTATTTACAAGCAACCTGTATTACTGAGATGGGTTTCCATCGACACGTCGCCAAAATAACAGTCGAAAGTTACACGTGTTACATACATTTTTTATGGCTATGTACAGTATTAACTGGTCTACACCAGATTGGATACATTATAATTCATTATCCAATAATTGTATACATTGAAATGAGAGATATTCAGCTAAATCGAAATGAAATTAAACCTAATATTATCATTACTTGTAACAGTTCCCTTCTAACAATATATGCATGTGAACCGTTTAATAATTTATTCCTAACCTTATTCTTATGATATTTCTATTTTGAAATGACACTGTTAATCATTGCTCATAAACAACGACAATGTCCAACTCAAAGAAAAACAGATAATCGACTTACCATAAGTTGAAACTTGCCCTGAAGTTTTCTTTGTTATTGTTATCTGTTGTTGCTTATCTTTAATTTGTACGGTAGATTTACTCTGAGAATCAGTTAAACTTTTATCATTATTAGCCTTCTTATCAGATAATTTATTTTCTTGAGGACGAGTAATTTTAGCACGTTTAGGTTCCTGTGATAAAAAGAAATAGATTATTATCGAATAAATGTAAAATTAATAAATTTTAAGGCATAAATCATTTAAAAAATTTATACATCTTATTGTGCAACAACATAAAAACATTAGTGAACAATAAAAAAAGGCCTTACTTTCACTGTTAATGTAGGTTCCTACCTTTCATTTTGTTGTTTTATCTTATTTTTTGAAGTAATTCTTTATCGTGCACGCTACACTATTATAGGGGTTTGGGTTATGAACTGAATTCTGACTAGTTTTCTATCATATGTGCATCCTGTGTGGATTGCTTCGATATTAACATCATGACATAAGGTATTTAGAATAGATGGATTTTGAGTAGCAGTGAAACGCAGGAAACGAGTTCCATCCTATTTGAGACTCAGCTGGGTGCACCTGCATCTTAGTGTTAATACTTATAAAGGGAATCGAATCCAGTATCATTACCCACAATACAACTATTCTAAGTATTACAGATACTGTTAGTAGTTTTACACATTTTTAAAGTATGCTAATATTTTCAGTCCTTTTTCAAAATGACTTATTTTTGGCAACTTGAATGTAACTGTAAACAAGAGAATACATGGTTAGCTTAACGTGTTATGTGAAAATTTATCGTTTTTTAATTGAGTTGACTTCATTCAAAATGATCAGTTGCATGGAAAACTTATAATTAAAAGAAAAGTTGACATAATTTTCAAAAAGGGAGATATTCCTACTTTGTAACCTTTTGTAACAACACGATTAGATTGACGCTTTTGGCGTTTGTTTTCATCATCGTCCGATGCTATTGCTGTTGCGTCATTTTCATCAGATCCACTGCTTTCATCAGCGAAATCAGAGTCAATTACATCTTCAACTGAACTTTCCGACTGATAATCTGCATCTTCTTCTTCCTAAAAGAGGAATTAAATGGGAGAAAAAATTATGACAATCTTTCCGTTTTTGTAAAAAGATTCATAACTATGATCTTTTCAATTAATAGACTTGTTTTTCTGGGACGAATTCAATATTATAACACAAAGATGCATGACAGGCGCATGTAAGAAGTGTTCTCCTTATCTGAGGTTTATTCATTATATGTATGAATGTACAGCTTATTGCCTAGTTAAAACACTATAAACACATAAAACATGAGACTTTGAAGTGGATATATATATATATATATATATATATATATATATATATATATATATATATATATGAATCCGTCGATTAGTTGCGAGATTTCTACAAAAAAGATTTTCAAATACAAAAGTCTGTGACACTGTACGAGGATTTATCCCACTGATCCCAAAGCAAATAATCAAATAAACTCTAGGATACCTGTTGAATTCGCACTTGAATATAGTATTATAAGATGCATATCCAAAAAAACGAGCCGCAAACAGTGGGAGAGTATATGGAAGTTCATTACTAGGTATTACTAACAACCAACATTGCAAGTGATTTTTTGAAATGTTAAAGTTGTATCAATATGAGAGTTATATTCCTTATCCCCAAGAATCTGGAAAATGCGAACAAAGTTGTAATAAGTAAGCATTTCACTAATTTGAGCTATTAAGAATCGAACGGATATCGGTTCCAAAACTTTTTAGAATTTGCCAATAAGACGTGTTTGCAGACATAATTAAACCCCTTCAGGTTCGAACACAAGTCATTAACGGCTATAGCCAAATATACTAGGGAGATATTTAAGTTGTGAATTTATTTTTATTATTTATTTGAACACTTAAATATTGGTACAAGAGAGCGCTAATATATATGCGCCACACAAAACAATGAAAATTCGAAGAGATAGAAAAAAAACTAAGAAGCACAAAAGAAAAAGAGAACGATAACGAAGAGATTGGTGTAAGGTAGTGTGGTAGTAACGAGGGAACGGAAAGGTACAATCAGAAGAAATCTTTCAAGTAAGGGATACACAACCACTTTTTATGAAGAAAGTAAAAGAAGGTTACAGCAGGATCGCCACTGGCTTCTATTCTGAGCCATATCTGATAACGCCTCTAGCCACTGTGTAACACCGTCTCTCAGACCCCAACCAGGGAGTCGTGAAAGACCGACAGAAGCCAGTCCTTTGCAGCTTTCTTTCATACCACGACACCATGTCATGCACTGACCACCTCTCCGCCTTTTCCAACCAGTCCCAGAGTCGGCAAATAATGCACAACGTGGAATTCTCTGGGACGACATTCGTAGAACATGTCCAAGCCACCGAAGTCGGTGTTTCAAGATGGTGACACCAATTGAATTATCATCTCTGTGCCCAAACACACGATGCCGAACCTCTGAATTACTGACATGGTGTTGCCACTGAATATCGGCAATCCTTCGGAGACAGCGATGATCGAACACAGAAAGTCGTCTAACGTCCTCAACTCGGAGAGGCCAGGTTTCACAAGCATAGAGCAAAACTGCTCTCACCGACGCGTTGTAGATCCGACCTTTTACAGCCAGACTAACATCACGAAGGCGCCAAAGATGGCCCAGATTGGCATAAGCCACTCTGGCTTTCACTATACGTGCATTGATCTCATCACTCACACCCCCACCAGCACTTATGCTGCTACCCAGATACACGAACTTCTCGACTACGTCTATCTGCTCACCATCCAGGGTGAGTACAGGATTGGAATCCTGCCAGTCTTGTAGAAGTACTTTGCACTTCGAAGGTGCAAAGCACATACCATACCTACGGACACTGATTGCCAACTGATTAAGTGCGGATTGCATGCCTTGGGCATTATCGCACAGTAAGACAATATCGTCCGCATACTCAAGGTCGAGAAGTCTTTCACCAGGCAACAGATCCACACCACCATTACTTACATTCATCAGAGCTGTTTCCAGAATGTCATCGATGGCAAAGTTGAAGAGGAATGGTGAGATTGGGCAACCCTGCCTAACCCAACTACTCGAATGGAACAATGGAGAGAGGTGGTTGTATGCCCTCACTCTGCCTGAGGTGTTTTTATATAGGGCTCTTAGGATGTTAATAAGCTTCTCAGGCACACCCTTCTTCAATAGACAATCCCAGAGAACAGTCCTGTCCAACGAATCGAAGGCAGCCCTGATGTCAAGAAACACTACGATTGTTGGCCTTTGATAAGTATGGCGATGTTCTAACATTTGGCGGAGGGTGAAGATATGATCAATACAACCTCGACCAGAACGAAACCCAGCCTGCTCCTCGCGAGTCAATCTTTCTCGGGTTTTGAACAACCTACGAAGTATGACGGAAGCCAATAGCTTGGACGCAATCACAAGTAGACTTATCCCCCGATAGTTGTTGCAGGAACGACGTGAACCCTTTTTAAAGATAGGGACAACTATCGACTTATTCCATGACGTTGGTACACTCTCTAATTCCCAAACCTTTGTAAACAACGTCGTCAATTCCTTAGTCAAAAGGTCACCACCATCTTTAAAAAGAGCCGGAGGTAAGTCATCTGGGCCAGGTGATTTGTAACGCTTCAAGAGTTGGAGTTCCTTGCGGACTTCCGCCTCATTTGGTGGATCAGTCGTCACCGGCCATGGAGGGCAGGATAGTCTGACCGATGTTGCCGGAGCAGCAGGCCAGTTGAACTGCCCTTCGAAAAATTCTGCCCATCGTCCAAGACGTCGATGGATGTTAGTGATTGGCATCCCATCATCCTCGCAGATTGTTTCACTCACACCAGACTTCTTGCTGCCAGTGGCTCGGATGAGCTGGAAGAGCTTCCGGTAGTTACCAGATGCAGCTGCTGCTTCCAGCTCATTAGCACGCTCCGACCACCAGGCTTCTCGGTCCTTACGCAAGCTTTGCCCAATTTCCCTACGTAACATCCTTCGTTTATGGTCAAACTCACGGTCACCCGGAGTGGACCGACGGGCTTCAATGAGTTGTAAGGAACCAGAAGAAACCCAGTGCTTAAAAGCGGGACGTTTCGCAAACCCACAACTGACTGTTCCCGCCATTTTCATGGCGTCAAGCAATTGCAACCAATGCTCATCTATACTTTTCGGTGGAGTGGTAGCTAGCCTAGAGGCTAGCTCGGTTCGATACTTACTTGCAACAGAAGTTGCAACCAACTTGCTGACATCAATCCTTTGGTGGTGGTCACTTCGTTGTCCACTGAAAAGTAAGGCAAGATTGGCGCAGACCAAGGCATGGTCAGAGTCCAGATAGGTACTCCAAAAGGATCGGCAGTCTTTTACACAACCACGCCAGCGGTAGCTGATCGTGATGTGATCAATCTGAGTCCAGGCTTGGGATGCAGAGGGAGGACGCCAGGTGGCACATCGGCGATGACTGTGCCGAAAGTTAGTGCTAGCCAGAAACAGGTTGTGGTCTGTGCAAAGTTGCAGTAGCCGGTCCCCGTTATCTGACCTGCGACCAACGAGTCCCCATCGGCCACCTAAACGACTCTCTTCTGTGCCTAGACGCCCGACCTGAGCATTCAAGTCTCCGGCTAGTACTACAATATCTGTCGAGTCCACTTTCTGGAGAAGAACAGATAACTGGTGGTAAAACTCATCCTTGATTGCATCCGGGCTGCAATCTGTCGGGGCATAAGCAGAGATGACGAAAAGACATCGTTTCTCACGCCGATTTCTTCTCACTTTGATGGAACTTTCTACTCTAACAGCACATAGCCGACTGTTAATGGGGATCCAATCAACTAGTGCTGCCTCAACTCTAGCGCTCAGTGCGACACCATCTTCAGCAAAATCAGACAAAGATGCCACAGTGTCCCCGGATAAACGCACGTGAAACAAGCACTTCGAAGCGACAGATGGAGATCGAATTTGTAGTACTTCGCCAGAGTCTTGAATACGGGTCTTGGATAGACAACAAACATCAATATTAAGACTTTCCAAAGACATAGCCAGCCCTATCTGTTGTCCGACCTGCACTAGTGTGCGAACGTTGAAGGCAGCCAGTTTGAATGGTGCACGTGGTTTCAGAAAAACTGCTTCAGTTCTCGTAATCGGTGGTAACATGGAATTTTCAACCGGACAGTGACTCGAGAACGTTTAGATACAGTCGAATTTCCACCAAAGACGAGCCGCTGTATAAGTATAAAAGAGGGTGAACAATGTGGAAAATAATAATAATAATAATAATAATAATAATAATAATGACAATAATGGTAATAATAATAATGGTATTAATAATGACAATAATAGTAATAATTATTTGAATCGATTGATTGTTGATCGGAGCGAGAAAATTAGTTGCCATAGTCATAGAGTTCATCGTTTGTGTGTGGGCTGTGATACTGCCCGGGTGCCCAAACCGAAGCAGGTATAAGTTTGATTGATAGGGTTACGCATATAAAGTGACTGACGAAACGCACATAAATTACTGTCCAACATTATGAAGCCGAACAAATACTGTCGATAAAGGAATAAACTATGATGCCCCGATTACTCAGCAGTAATTAAGTTGGCAATTGAAACACAGAAAAAGGTCCGAACTTCAAACTGAGTGGTTTTTAGGAAGAAAACATGTCTTAACAACATCCAATGAAAAAATGAAGAGTAGAATACAATCCTCAATGAGAACCGTACAGTATGGTTTTAATTAGTATCCATTTTAAAAACATTGCCATTGGTATCTTCAAAAACAATGCTTCGTTCCTGATATTTTTCATATACTATGTATAGACTAATAAGCTTAAGTGACCTTTAATATATGATAATAATAATCGGTTTCACGAGTGATGATTAAGCAACGCACTTAATCTAACAAAACATGAAAAATAAATATTACATAAACAACAAAACACGAACAGTACTTCTGCAAATCCACCATAAATATTGGAATAGAATTCATCCTCCTCTTCTTCATTCAACAACCGAGCCATCCGGGCTCCGGCGTTCGCACGGCGTTCCCTATCCACTGAAATCGGCATCGGACCTATAAAGAATGTAAACATAACGAAATTATCAGACTAATATATCGGTTAACTTAATACATGATTAATTTCCAAAGAATATCTCGCGATAATAACTACTTGAATGTATTTAAATCCTCAAATTACTAGATTCATGGTGAGAAACAGAATCCATAATGAACGGTATAGTCAAATAAGTTCGATATATGAAATACTTAACCCTCACAATGAAACTTAATACATGTAAGGATGTGAGGTTATCAGACAATAAGGATTGTCAGGGAGAAGTGTTCGAGCAGCTATCACACTAAGAAGCATTCAGTCCTATTACTGCCCAATGTAATGATTTTTTAAATATAACTTTAGACAAATAATCATAACTAATTGTGACAAGCCTGAAGTAAGATCCCAATAAATTAAAAATAACAATTTACCACGTGTAGCTTTGAGTATTTTATACACGATAATGCTAGTGTTTTAATCTCGTATTACAGTTATTTATGTGCAACAACGAAATCTATTGAAGGATGATTAGAGAATAGATTTGCTCATTCGTTTCAGGACAAGAATATCTTAGTTTCATTAGGTCATTCCCAACAATATGAGTAAGAAACCTTAAGAAACATTAAGATTTTATCAACTTCAGTAGAATGAATGACATTTAAAGTGATTATCAACGTACATAAAATGTGACACTAGTTCAAATTAACTAAACTATACAACCATTTATCAATATTTGTTTATTTAGTTAAACATTGGTACAAAGAGGCACCAAATAGATATGCGCCACATGAATCATCCGATCTGTGTAAGGGCTGGGATACTACCCGGGTACCAAAACCGAAGCAGGTGGTTTTCTTCGGGGGGCCACACCCCGAACCTTTGACCTAAAGGTCTAATCCACAAGGCAATGGAGCAACATAAGGAGATGCAGTCCCATGGTAGCCGGTGACCAACAATTGTTTCATACGCCATTTGTTTCCTTAGGATCCTGGAGCCCATGTACACCACTGGTTTGGAACCAAGGTTTTCCAACTACCCTAAGTGGATCCTGCGCATCCATCAACCTGGTTAAAGGGTCGAGCCATCGCTTTTAGTCTTCTCAATTTCGTAAACAACACCCCCGCACGAAAGGCAGCGAGTAGGACTTCTCTATCAAAAGTCCAAGTATAGGGCTGACAGTGAAATACACTCCCAGCTCCAGTTGAATAATAATGATACGAATTACAATGACCTATGGAAGATTTTGAACGCGAAATTAATATAAACAGTCACCACTACTCTCACAAACCACTGTCCAAGCGAAGTTGTCAAAACATCCCATTAAGAGGATAAGACAACTTTGGAGTCAACTCAAGTTTTTTACTCAAAATTAGCGGAGAAATAGAAAGTACAAACGAAACTTTTTACTATCAAATAACAAAAAGTAAACAATATATACTTAATTTATATTTCTACAATATTTATTAGCAAGCAAAATAAAACAGGTCACAACTGAAGTAGCTGCTAAATTAAGTTAGCAACAAGAAAAATGTGAGCAATCTGATAACATTATTTCGATCCAACCCGTGTTCGTTTGTTCCATGAAAAATTGGATCCATAGGACTTGACATTCATTTTTAAAATATTTGGACTTTCTACGTAACATGGCCATCCCTGACGTTTGCAAAACTCTTTCGCCGCTTCAGAAGTTTCAAATTCAACAACTGTAGTTGAAAGTGGATCACCACTGCTCGCCCAACCCATTAGTGGATTTTCCCAGCGTTCGCGATTGTCGAACTCAATACGCCAAAGTCGAGTGCCATGAATGCCTGATTGAGTAGCAGGTTTAGCTGGGATGAAAATTCTAACACGCCTTTCAGATTGGTGTTCTTTTGGGACTCCATTTACTGGCGTCAAATCATCTTCGAGAGGAACCGTAATAACATCATCTTTAGAAAACTCTGCTGATTTCTTCATAATATGTTTCGCCTATCGAAATTAGTAAACATCAAAAGAAAGGTACATAGACACCATATTATGCCAAGCTAGTACAAGAAATAAGTACTAAATGGAACACAACAAATACCCTCAGAGTAGCAGCTATGTAAACTTATATATCCGGTCACAATAAGACAAATACTGTCAGTTCATGCCTTTGTCTACAGATAATAAATGTATACATAATCATGTCTAGATCACAGATCTATGCAAATTCGGTTTGTCAGAACTCCAACTAACAGATTTAAAACCACTTAAAATCCTAGCGCTAGAACCAAAAAATAGCTGACATGGTGACCACGTTTTGATATTGAGTGAGAACATTCTGTTTTCCATACCTAGACAAAATTCATATGTACCTGCTTGGACCGAGCTAAACCTTTATGACCATCTGTGACGCACCTTGCTGATTTATGAAGGTTTGATGACCGGCAATAAGTTTTTTTACATAGATAATCAGCGTCTTCATGAATGCTGTTCTTCAATATTTGGGAGGCTTAAAATGTTGTCACTAAAATTAAAGCAGTCTCGAATTCCAGGCTTTTAGTATATATAGTAAGGTCTAAACTGTACGGAAGTAAAAATGTTAAACTTTGAAAGTGTTCCTGATGGGTTTGCTGTGGCTAGGCATTGATTGAACAGTTGATACCTGTTACTCCTCGTGAAGGAACATAGGCCGCTCACCAGCCTTCGCCATCCAACCCTGTCCTGGGCGATCCTTTCCAGCTCCTTCCAGTTCCTATTCATCCTTTTCATATGTGCTTCTGTTATCTGACGTAATGTGTTCTTAGGCCTTTCTCTTTTCCGTTTCCCTTCAGGATTCCAAGTTAGGGCTTGTCTTGTGATGCAGTTTGATGATTTGCGTAATGTATGTCCTATCCATTTCCATCGTCTTTTCCTAATTCCTTCTTCAGCTGGAAGCTGATTTGTTCTCTCCCACAAAAGGCTGTTGCTGATGGTATCCAGCCAATAAATGTTGAGTATCTTGCGAAGACAGCTATTCATAAGTACTTGTACCTTATTGATGGTGGTTGTTGTAGTTCTCCAAGTTTCAGCTCCATACCTTAAAACTGCCATGACGTTGGTATTGAAGATTCTCACTTTGATATTGGTTGAAAGTTGTTTTGAGTTCCATATGTTCTTCAATTGTAGGAATGCGACCCTTGATTTGCCAATCCTTGCCTTTGCGTCTACATCTGAGCCTCCTTGTTCATCGATGATGCTTCCTAGATATGTGAAGGATTATACATCTCCCAGAGTTTCGCCATCAAGAATGATTGGATTGCTGTTCTCCACCTTGAATTTGAGGACCTTGGTTTTCCCTTTGTGTATGCTGAGGCCTACTGATGCAGACTGCTGCTACACTGGCTGTCTTTGTCTGCATCTGTTCGTGTGTATGCGATAGGAGGGCTAGGTCATCTGCGAATTCCAAATTGTCTAATTGATTTTGAGCTGTCCATTGTGAAGTGGTCGAACGCGTCGGCAACTTCACTTATCTTGGAAGTCTGATCACCCCTAATGGGCTGGTATCGGACAAAATCTCAGCACGGATTCGAAAAGCTCGCTTGGCTTTTGCCAACTTACGTCACCTTTGGTGAAGGCGAGATATCCGTCTATCAATAAAAGGACGAGTATACTGCGCGGCAGTCCGTTCTGTCTTACTTTACGGCAGCGAAAAATGACCTTTAAGAGTAGAAGACACCCGTAAGCTACTAGTATTTGACCACAGATGCCTTAGAAATATTGCTGGCGTCTGTTGGGATCACCGGGTAAGTAATAGTGAGGTTAGACGCAGGGTATTAGGTAATGATGGTAAATCAGTTGATGAGGTTGTTAATCTTCATCGACTGAGATGGTTGGGCCACGTGTTACGTATGCCTGAACACCGATTACCACGACGTGCAATGCTAACGGGTGTTAGAGATGGTTGGAAGAGAATTAGGGACGGCCAAACCAAAACGTAGCATCAGTGCTTGAAGTCACTAACCTCTAGTCTGAGCCATATTGGTAGATGCAGACTACTTGGTTGGGGTCAGCGTGACTTTCTTAACCGATGGTTGGAGACTCTTGGTGACATGGCTCAGAATCGATCACAATGGCGTCGGTGCATACACTCCCCGTCTTCCCTTAAACTAAGAGATTAAAATCGCTTTATATCTTTCTTTATACGAACTAATTCTATATTCTGGTACTGTATCCTTATATGCAATCTTTCTCCTATATATTACCACCTTTAGCCTAACCACTCCCATGAATCCGGTGTTCATCTCGCTGTGCTAACGAAGTATGGCAACCTGGACCGATGCATATATGTGCCTGGTCCTACGTTGTAGCTGACTGACTGACTGATTGTATTCCGTGTTTTCCTTCAGATGTCGAGGTCCTCATAATCCAGTCGACCACCAGGAGATAAAAGAAGGGAGAGAGTAAACAGCCTTGTCTGACTCCGGTCCTTACTTGGAATGCATCTATCAGCTGTACTCCATGCACGACTTTGCATTGTAGTCCGTCGAATGAGTTCCAGATAATGTTGACAACCTTCTCAGAAACTCCGTAGAGTCAAAGAATTTTCCATAACGTTCTCCTATCTACACTGTCAAATGCCTTTTCATAATCAATGAAGTTGATGTAAAGTGACGAATTCCACTCAACTGATTGTTCGACGATGATCCGTAGTTGAAGACCTTCCCTGGTATTGACAGCAGTGTAATGCCCCTATAGTTTTCACATTTGCTCAGATCTCCTTTCTTTGGAATCTTGATGAGGTGCCCTTCTTTCTAGTCCATCGGCACTTGTTCCTCCTCCCAAATCTTTTTGAATAGAAGGTAAAGCATGTTTGTAGTTACTTCGATGTCTGACTTCAGTGCTTCAGCTGGTATGTTGTCCGGTCCCGCTGCTTTCTCGTTCTTGATTTGTCTGACGGCCATTCTGATTTTTTTTCTTCGTTGGTGGGTTGACATCTATGGGAAGATCTGTGTGTGCCGCTTCGATGTCCGGTGGATTCATTGGAGCCGGCCTATTCAGGAGTTCCTCGAAGTATTCTACCCATCTGTTCCGCTGTTGTTGAATTTCGGTGATTGGCTTGCCTTCTTTGTCTTTGACCGGTCTCTCTGGTTTACTGTATTTCCCTGATAGTTTCTTCGTTGTATCGTTAAGCTGTTTCATATTTCCTTCTCTAGCAGCTTTTTCCGCCGTCGTTGCTAGTTCTTTCACGTATTTCTTCTAGTCGGCTCTAATGCTCCTCTTCGCTTGCTTGTTTGCTTCTGTGTATTCAGTTTGTGCTAGGCATAACCATCTATTTCTTCACCCTTTTAGTCATGTAAGATCGATTAAACGATAAGCAACATATGTGGTAAGTTTGAATTCCCCAGAAAATCTCGTATAGAAAGCAGGTTCTCTGAAAAATATATTATTACTCGTACGTCTTTATTTTACTAAGCCCAAAAACATTATAACCATAATAGGTTGGGATACAACAAAAAATACATATTACAACCAAATAGAAACTTTCAGAACTTCAAGTCTGATAAGTACTAGGTACTTTTGGACTATGATTAGTTTAGATAACCGATTATTGGGAAGTTTTGATACACGACGCGGTATTGTTGACCTGCAGTCGCGTAAGTTGACTTATGCGCTACAAGTAGTTAGCTCTTGTCTATAAGACCGAACTACCTGAAAAGGTTAGAGGAATAGTGGTCACATTGGTCTCATAATGACATGTCTCCAAATTCGACTACATTTTGAGGAAGAGACCAGGGTAGCTATATTAAAATATTCTAACTAACTGATAAGGATTATGGGTCTAATATGTTCTTTAAATCCTATATTGCAAACCAGTAACATCCTGATTAACCTTGTCTCGAAACAAACGCTTGAAATATAAACTGCCATCTTGGAGGCCATTGAGTGCTCCAAAGACTTGCTAATGACATTCTCTATACTGATGGGAACTGAAGTCCCGTCTTAATTTATTAAAGAGCAATCCGTATAACACTGGCGCAACCTTAACCAAGTGGGTATGAAGCACCTGTAGACTACACCTAAGGATAAATAGGCAATCATTATGACAAAATAAAATCAATAACTTAAAACAGGAAGAAATTTTTAACCTCTTCAGTTGAATCAACTAGCCTGGTTCGAAACCACGGATCATCCGTCTCTGCAAGTTTCACTCGAATTTCGAAAGACATTCTCGCTGGTGTTCCCTTACTGACCTTCCATCTTATAGGTTGATACAGTAGTTCACAAAGAGATAATCCTCTGGGGAATTTAGTGGTAAACATTTAGAAACATAGGGCGAGTAACGCCTACTTTAATTAAGGCGCTCGACAGAAACCAGTTTGGGAAGGACAGAAGTCTTTAAGGTTAGTATAAGTTCTGGAGATCATCATCTGTTATCCAGTCCAATTTTCTTTGAACGAACATCTTTATAGATGCACAATTAGGTTCTAAGTTTTAGAATTCTACTGATAAAAATTTGTTGTGAAAGTCAATCACATATCTTCAGCAATATGTACAGAAGTCGATGGACTTGTCTTAATCTCTGCAGCTGCTTTTCCAGCAAACACTCAGCTTCGCCTTGAAACTGTTTACTTGTGGGACTGACATCATTTTTTCGGGCAGGACATTCCAGTTATTAAACATCAAATGCGAAAAACGAAACCCTACTCTGAATTTATGGCCTTGGGGATGAGTAGTTTTAGTGGAAATAAAAAGACTGGGCATGTTAACACCCTAATTGCTGTCAGTGATACAGAATGCCAAAATAAGGTCACTTCGGGCTTTACTATACTATAAGGGTAAAATGGTCCAAGTGTTCTAAATGCTCATCGTAAGAGAATTTGGAAAGACTCACAGCTGTTTTTATTCTAGCAAATTAAATAGTCTCTTATGTGTGAAAATCCTTAATAAAACATGAATGGTTGCTTGAATGCAGTATCGCGGATTTGATTTCCTTTAGATGGTGTAGAAAACGCGAAAAATCTCACCAAAACATTTGTATGTTCAACAAAGTGACCACTGCATTCGAAAATATTTGGTGGCTTCTGCATTGCATCCTTCTTACTTACTTACTTACGTTTGTTACTCCCAATGGAGCATAGGCCGCCGACCAGCATTCTCCAACCCACTCTGTCCTGGGCCTTCTTTTCTAGTTCCATCCAATTCTTGTTCATTTTTCTCATGTCCATCTCCATTTCCCGGTGTAATGTGTTCTTTGGTCTTCCTCTTTTCCTTTGGTCTTGAGGATTCCGTGTGAGGGCTTGTCTTGTGACGCAGTTGGGTGCTTCCCTCAATGTGTGTCCTATCCACTTCCGGCGCTTCGCCCTGATTTCATCCTCCGCTGGGATCTGGTTTGTTCTCTCCCACAGTACGTTGTTGCTAATAGTGTCCAGCCAACGGACCTGAAGTATTTTGCGTAGACAACTGTTAATAAACACCTGTATCTCCTGAATGATGGCTTTTGTAGTTCTCCAGGTTTCTGCCCCATACAGTAGAACTGTTTTGACATTTGTATTGAAAATTCTGACCTTGGTGTTGGTTGACAGTTGTTTTGAGTTCCAGATGTTCCTCGATTGTAAACATGATGATATTTCTTAGCCGATTCAAGCCTTCACATATGCATCAGATCCACCCTGTTCATCAATGATGCTGCCCAAATATGTAAAGGTTTTTACATCTTCCAAATCTTCTCCGTCAATTGTGATTGGATCGGTGCATGCTGTGTTGTATCGGAGAAACCCGCTTTTCCGTAAATTGAGACCTACTGCTACTGAGGCTGCTGCCACACCGTTCGTCTTCTCCTGCATTAGGTGTTGCGTTTCGGATAGAAGGGCCAGATCATCTGCGAAGTTTAGATTGTCTAACTCGTATCTTCAAAATGTTCCTTAATAAAACTTCGAACTATTTTTGAGATTCAAAATTGAGCTTATGTGTCACAAAATTGGTTACTGCTTACTTAGTTTTATTTTTGGAATTGCTGGACTAGTGTTGTGTTCAATCAAAGATCATTTATTTACTGTTACTTGTTCAAACAAACAAGCTTAATCGATTTGAACAAGATAAACGAAATAGGCAATCAATAAAGGTAAGTCGCTGATGATAGGATCACCTCTTATTTTTTGAATCACAATTGGTAACTCTTATTTCATATAACTCTTTGCTCTACAGTGATCTCAGTTTAAATGACTTCTCAGAGCAAAATATTGAATGCAAACAACAATTTAGGCGAAGCTTTTCTAAAGAAAAGATCACTTGGTTAATTTATGAAAAAATTATCAAGAATAAGGTGTTTGTAAAGCTACTGCTGCGATAGTAATATTTATACGACGGTTTCTTAGAAGGTTTTTATATATTCATGGTGCGAGTTCATAAGTTTTTTGTTCTCAATAAAACTAAGTAGAACACAAAATGGAGTGTCTAGGAAGATCATTAGCCTCTAAACTGGTCGATTTTGGGTTATTTACTTCAATGACACAATCAAAGTTTATACAAATGTACCGTTAAAGAAAATCCGATTCAAGTTTCAAGTTTACTCATTTGAGTATCTTTCATTATTAATATAATATGAAATGCTGTCACTTTTCTACAATGACAGTACTTAAATAAAAGTATACACACTTTGATCATAGAAATAAACTAGTAGGAATATGTGTACTCATATTTTGTGCTTAGTATGACTCATCAAAAAGACGCTTCTGTCAACTTTTAATGGTTCAGATCATAACACACTAAAGTTTGAGCCATTTAACAGAATAATCAAGAGTATTAGAACTGTTTGGATGAATATGAATTCTTTAGCAAACACAACGAGTAAATTACCAAAGGGATGATTGTTTAGTATAGGAAGATGATTGACCATAAAGAGATCGTTTTAAAACTTCATCGTTTGACAATATGTGCTGAGTTAAAGCTGTTAAAAATTGAAGTCTCTTATCTCTTATACTTTAATTCATGAAATACAAACAACAATTGTTCTAGAATATAATGAAAAACAGAAAAAATTCCATAATCTGTTCGGATTAACATCAAATTTTAACATCTTCATAAGCTTGAGTGTTTCTGTTATAACTTGCGGCCTGTGTGCCTGTGTGTATAACGTAACGATACTGCCGACTAGAGAGCAGTGAATTATCGATCGAACCAGATCATCTGCGAAGTCAAGATCGTCCAATCGCATCCTAGATATCCATTGTATCCCGTGCTTTCCTTCAGATGTTGACGTCTCCATGATCCAGTCGATCACCAGGAGAAAGAGAAAAAGTGTGAGTAAGCAACCTTCCTAACACCGGTCTTTAATTCGAACGACTTTGTCAACTGTCCTCCATGCACGATTTCGCAGTGTAATCCATCATATGAACTCTGTATGACATTGACTTTCTTCTGAGGTACACCGTATTGTCGAAGAAGCTTCCATAGTGTTGTTCTGTCCATGCCATCAAACGCTTTTTCCTAGTCAATGAAATTGATGTAGATTGATGAATTCTATTCAATTGATTGTTCCACAATGATCCGTAGAGTTGCAATTTGGTCTGTACACGAACTGCTTTTAGTGTTTCTGCTGAAATTTGGTCTATTGCAACCTTCAGTTGCTTATTATCCATAATTTACTGTAACTTCATGATCTTTTCGTTCCTGAATGTATAGGAATGATTTACCATTGATAGTATCCTGGTTACTATTGTTACGTTCGATGTGCAATAGCACAGTCTTTCTTTGAATAATTCCTAACCCCAAGTTTATGAACCGTTTAACTTGTTAAACTACGTCAGGTTCGAGGTCAAGGTGATCAGCCTCACCACTTATTGTCCTTCAGATTTTGGAATCATTTGCAAACATCAGTGTCGATGACTTAAACGTTAACGGTAGTAGAAAACATCGCGGGTCTGCGATACTGACACCACTTTTTACCAGCTTCTATTCAGGTTTCATCCCATTTTCTTCCACCCTCTGTCTTAGGCTACAAAAGGAGCTCTCAATTCACTCCTGTATTACACCTGTAATGCCACAGCTCGAGAGATTGGGATAGGACTAAATCAAATGCTTTAGTATGATCTATGAATATCACACTGCTGGACAAAATATTATCTTGGGCTGCTGTTTAACCCTCCATCGCAGTCAGTAAGTTAGCCGAGGATAGATTATTGGTTCAAAACTCGTGTTGCGCAGGATTTGGTGGTGTATGATTCTGTATAACTTAGTTAATTGGCTGAAAATATTTTTAAGGGAATCTACGCACTATTCTGATTAGACTTTCGTGGCGGCAGGTAACCATCGTTCTATTGGTGGAAGAAATCAGACTAGTAGTGAATAGGTTTTCATTTAGGTCGCGGGACAACACACAGTAAAGCGGGAGGTCACCTGTTCAAACACACAAAGCTTTTCAACGTTCAATATAAGATAGTAGGAAGTATGCCTATACAAAATAAGGAAATGAATGAACACTTGAGCTCTATTATTTTGGCGTATGCTTGGTTTTTCTGATATCAACTATTAACTAATTGACCCAAGTCTTTGCAAAACTGACAGGTCGGTGACTGGATACAATCTGTCATTCTGTATTTAAATGTGTGACTAACTTTAGCATTCTTCCAACCCCTAGCGAATCAAGTTTAGTAAGGGAACGTGTTGAACGGCAGTTGAGTAAGTTTTAAAGTTTTCACAACGGATGACAACAGTCGTGGATGTATCCATCAGAACCGGTGAATAACCAGGTCTGAGGCTAACGAGCGATCGAAGGACAATCTTCTCAGTCATACATATTATTCCTATGAGTGGTATGTTAATCGTGTGGTTATGAGAGGTGTTGTTAACAATGACTTTAGAACTGACCTCGCTAAAATAGATTGATATAGTCTCAACTTTGACCGCAACTGATCCAGGTAGTGTACCTGAATTTTCGTGCAACAATAATCGTGGACTCCATCATTATGTTTTGCTCTTCGTTTAATGTACGAAAACAACCGTTTTGGAGAAGTACAGCTATCGTGTGCCAACTGTCCTTCGTAAGTGCTGTGGTTTTTGGCTGCGATCTTCGGGTACAGATTACGGATTTTTCAGTATTCACACAAGTTATTGGTGGCCAGTTAACAAGATGTCCTAGATGTTTCTCCTACGCCTCAGTAAATTTCGGGTTTCCTTATCAGTTTATGTAGGGCGAAAAGATAGAACACGCGTTGACCATGGGATGAACAGTGACCTCAATAACTGGAATTGGAAAACAGAGATATACTGTATAATATGTTTCAGGAACCTAACTTGCAGTGAACCTCGATCACTTTTCTAGTGGGGTTAGGCATTGAATGTCAGAGACACCATCACAGTGACGTGTGAGAGCAAGGTCTAGCAATGATGATTT